GATGACCGTAGTATCTAATCATCATATCATCAACAGACAGAAATTTACCAAAATTCCAAATTTTTGAAAACTGTGATTTATATGCGTGATTAATTTTCTTATTTCGAATGCCCGGTCTGATTTTTGTATTGCTGCGTAATTATTGTTGGCAAAATGAATTACAGATTTAATTTCTAAATATTTATTTAGAGACATTGCTTTTTTTTACTATCGGTATCATGAGATCTACCTCTGACTAGTAATTACGTTCATTATGTAAAGTATGGTAGCCACAGAAAATCCAAAAAACAATAAAACTCTGCAACTCATCAATTATAAATGAAAACTCATGGTTCTTTTACCACAATTTCGCATACCTTTCTGTTTCATTTATTACACATTCTTAAAATTTCGGAAGTTAAAAATTTATTTGGAATTAATTTTAAGTGGATCACATATTTTCTAAAATATTTGAAATACTCTCACTATTTTCATCAGACAAATTATCCCCTTTTTTGTTAAAAGCATAATTGGGGGTATTTTTTGTCCAATATGCTTTTGGCTGCATTTTTTAAATAATTTCGAACTAACTGTTTTTAACTTTCATTTTCGTTACTGACGCTAGATGTAGATGACAGTTGCTCAGTAATGTTAGGTGCAAAATCAGTTATGTTTTGACCCTAACATTACTCCGTTATGTTTTTACCGATGGAGTGATCATTTCACCATCATCAAACCACTTTTCATCAATTTAATTGTCCACCTCAGGCCGTAAAGCAATTATATCTGACTCAGTCTCCTTAAAAAACATATATTTCTAATGCTTAATCGGGGTGTGAAACACTTTACGCCTGTACATTTTGGAAAAAATGAAAAGGAAAAGCAGTATTAGTTACCACTAACGCCGAGTGATCTAGTTATAGATCAGCATGTTTAAGCTAAAAATTTAATTATAAGAACAGTTATTTTTCGACCTAAAATAACGCAGAACAATTAAAGAGGTATTGAAAATGTATAACAGGTAAGAAAAGAATAACTTAGGATATAAAAGTGTAAATCTTGTAAAATTATCAATTATTACAAATAATTCTGTATTTCTTCTTTAACTTTTTACGAATGGTCCTAAATGATCTATATGTATAATTTCAAAAGATCTTCTACCAGGTTTAATTGGATTCAGTACTCCTTCTTTCTTACCACTAGGCACTTTGTTTACTAGGCATTCGAAACACATCGAAATGTGACGCATAACATATCGTTTCATTCCTTTAACGTTTGAAAGGAATGAATGACTCCTTGATTTTGGCAACAGTTCTATCTGCTAAAAATGTCCCAAAAGATCGTGAAATTTTACTACAATACCTTTTCTCATAGACTTAAGTATGACATATAAAAATTTCCACTTTTTCTGATCTTTACGAAGCAATCGATTATCCTTCAAGACGTAATTTTCAGTTACACATTTCTCTGCATTCGCTCTATCATTTATGTTTTTCTTTAAAGTGTCCATTAATTTGCGTAATTCTGGAATGTTAAATCATAAGAATTTTTTCATCTATCGTTAGCGTTAAATAAACTTCCAAGTTGTTTTCAATTATCATTTATTTAAAGTTTCTTCTGGCTGATCAACTTGCGATCGGCTCAGTGCATCTACGTGCCTCCTTTTTTTACCTTGTCTGTGCTTTATTTCAAGATTGTATTCCTGGATCAGATTACTCCACCTTGCTATCTGAGGATTTGAAGTTTTCTTCGCGTTTAAATAAACTAAAGCTTGGCAGTCTGTAATTACCGTAAATAAGATTCCAATTAATATTAATAATTATTTGTTTCTGTTGTTCCTTTACTTACACAATAAACTAAAGGCCAATTTTTATCTTCACCTTTTTGCAACAGCATTCCTGCCAGCCCTTTGCTGCTCGCGTCTGTGTGCACTTCAGTCTCTGCTTCCGGATTATATAACGCTAGTACTAGTTTATTAGGTAAATGGACTTTTAAAGTAGTGAATGCTTCTTGCTGATCTTCGTTCCAAGGAAATGTTTCATCCTTTCTCCTCAGTTTCGTTAACAGCTCAGCTTTCTCTTCATATTTCGGAACAAATCTTTAAAAAACTTGTAAGACCTAAAAATTGTTTAACTTCATGTTCATTGGTTAGTTTAGTATGGCTCGTACTTTTCTTGGTCCATTCGATTTTATTAGAAATACCAAATACTCAACTTCATCGTTTCCAAATTCGAAATTTTGTCAGTTTCAATGTCAGGTTTGCTTCTCTCAATCTATCAAACACTTTTCTAAGGTTTTCCATCATTTCTTCCCAAGATTTAGCCGGAATTATTATGTCATCCAAATAGCATAATACACTGCTGGCCACCGAAATTGCAACACCAAGAAAGACAAGAGATATCACAACAAAATTTATTTAGTACATAACATGTTGACCAAGTATCAACTGATTGAATTTATAGACTTCTGTGAAATGTGGTTCCTTTCAGAATCAGAAGCCAGAGTAGCCGCCATTGTTGGAGATCACCGCTGCCACACGCCTTCGTATTGAGTCAAAGAGACTTTGGATGTGTTCTTGGAGTACAGCAGACCAAGCCACTTCCACACGTTGCCAAAGTTGATCTGGTGTAACAGCTTAGAAAATCCTACTCATTAAGGAGCAGTTAACTTTTGAAGAATTTTCGATGGAATATAAAATCTTATAATATATCATTACAAAACCTGAGTAGGATTAAAAAAAAAGAGTCTTTGTATAAAAGATTTCTTGACGCAAACGAAAATATAAATATTTAATAGGCTGATATTTATTTCTCTTCAAAAAGTACTATTCAAAAAATCTTAAAACAAATCTATTTCTTCACCTACATACAAACTTTGAACGTTAGTCAGTACATCATTTACGTTAATAACATCAAAAAAGTCATCTGCGACAATTAGTAAGCCTTCGTGTCCTACCTCATTTTTATAACTTATTTGGCAACCAAAAAATACAAAAGTTCTGTACTTTTGTTAGAAATACATTTTTCAATACACTTACAGTTCATGAAATCCATTTGGACAGTCAGGATCATCAGCATATTAACGTATAAAATGTATATCACTAACCAACTACTTTGTCACGAAATAGTTAAGAGTTTTAGAAATAAGGGGAGTTTCTCTTATGAGGACACATATTTCGCTATATTTTGAGTCAAGTAAGTGTTCCTTCCTCAACAGAACATTTTTCCGTTACGAATTCCAGTCTAAAATTTTTTCTTTGAAACAATCTTTGTAGTGATATAATTATTTCATCGTTGACATTTTGTTTCGAAACACACACATGTTTCTTTACAATCGAAACACTGTCAGAGCTATCAAAGAAAGCAAATGAATTTGTATAATCGCCGAATTCTTTCCATACTAGTGGAGACAGCAAAACTCCATCTCTGGTAGGATGTAACACATCATTCTCATCAGCTACATATTTCCGCACGTGAACAGGAGTCAAACCTGAGAAACACAGTATACAGTCACAAAAATATCCCCACCGAAGATGAAACATATTCTTTGGCAAAGAAATCAAGCTTCAGCAAAGTTTCGTCATCTGAAGCACAGCGAATCATTTTTTATGATAAACGTGAATTTGCATGCCGACTCAGCCAATCAACCTGACGTAACCCATCTTCTAAATGTGCTTTCCTGCGCGGAAGAATCTTTTTATTCATAAACAGTTTTGGAGTTACGGAATTAATTATACCATCGTAATAATTAAAGTCAATTTCATTACACGAACGCTTCACTTGCGGTAGTAAAATTTTTCTGAACGTCAGACTAATTTGAGTAGTTTCACTTCGGGTTGGGTTGGGATACTGTGTTTCCAGACTACATTCGTAGGGGGTTTCATCACTAGAAGCAATCCGCGTTCTAGACTCATAATGTGAGTCATATAATTCTCCTTCGTAAAATGCATCTCTCGCGTCGGACCGTAACTCAGTGTGGGAGTGCTGCACTAATGGTCTAAAGCGCTTTCAACGTCTCTGTGCGCGGAGATCTCGGCTTCTCCGTCAGGGTATTTGTTGAGCAAAAAATAATTTTATTTATCGTGGGTGAGTGTCTCAACTTCAGTTTTAATTTGCTGCAGCGCAGGAGTCCAGGGCTGGGCGGCGACCGACGTCCCTGAAAAACTGTAGGTGAGTTTATCATCATCCCCGAAGGCTCAGCGAAGTCGAGCTGGAACGTATTGCCGTCCGTAAATGTTCAGGATTAAAGGCTGGAAAGGGTAAGCGCACAATTCCGTAAAGATAGAATCTGTTTTTTTTTTCTTTGTCGTGAAAATCCTTAAAATAGTACAGTATTAACTGATCGTCAAATTTTCCAATCATAGTGAGTATGGTAAGAGTGACTGCCTCGAAGCACAATCCTCTTGGTTCGAACAGGAAGAGCGAAAGCATGAGCTAAGGATACAGCACGAGCAGAAATGAAGAAAAACTTGTCCAGTGCTTCTGTATATAGGCCTTGGTCAGGATCCACGAGAACCAATCAGAAAACGCTATGGGTAAGACACTGCCCTCTATCGGTCGTTGCTGAACTAAAAAGAATGCACTAGAAAATTCTAGCATGTTGCAATCACGTTGCGGATTCGCGTTAATAGATAAGCGTGAACATGAAACCGGATTACAATACAGACAGGATGAAACATGCAGCTGACGTCACGAACAAGATGCAAGGCTTCCGTACTTTTTGACGTAGCAACACGCACATGCTCCTCCGTAAAGTTCCTCCCCTCCCTGTGCGCCTAGCACATCCGTCGTCTGTGAGCGCCTCAGGAGGCTTTGCCTTCAAGCGCCTCATGGCGCAAAATCTCCACTTTATACCTACTGCCATTAGATGTTTAAGATTTAAATTCGAAATTATTTCACCACTTAGAAAGCTTATAAATTAAGTAATTTAATCTAGTCTTTAATTAGTTCCCAAATTTATGGCGCGAAACAGCACTTTTATTTGGCATTGTTCATTATGCTCATCTGTATTGTTGTTTTTAGGTTCAAAACGTTGTTGTAGAGAAAGTGAACAAAGACTGTGACCTTGGAAGTAAAATTACCAATTTCAGTGAACTGACAACAGCTGTTTGTTCAGTTCCTGGAAGTGCTGCTGTAAGTACTTTATCGATATTTTTAGATACAGAAATTATCAATAATATTTCTACTTAATTCTCAAATACCGTACTCAAAAATGAGTATTAAAAATGCATTAAAAAACAAGGAAATAAAATAATTTAAATCATCAAATATGTCAATTAAACAAATCTTAGTCGCCTAGACGGTATAGTGGTATTGCGGTATCGAAGGGCCCGGGCTCGAATCCCGGATATAGACATGGATGTTTGTAAACGTTTAGTGACCGTGAAGCATGGCGGCACTCTAAATATGCGGCCAGCCGAAAATCCTCTCGTGTGCTTTGGTGGAGAGAGGGGGAGACACCCGGACCAGCCTCGTGTGCTCTCCTTCAAAATTGGGGGAGGGGAATAGAAATCCAGTTTCTCTGTGGATTAGGATCTGGCAACCATTTTTTCATGTAATATGGACATGACAAAAAAAAAATATTGCTAAATAGATAATATGCCTTTATAACAGAAAATAAGTTCTTCATGTTGAGTATTTTGATACAGTAAAATACATTTTTTAGAGAAATATGAAGTATTATGTATAAAATTTAAGCTCCAACCCTAATGGGCTGAATCGAATTGCTTGTAATAATTTTGGTGTTAAATCGAATGTTAGCGCAATTATTTATAAACAAGGCATTGTACCCCTTATTTCATATGGATGTAGAGCTTGGGGATTGTCTCTAAAAAAGAAAATTAACTCTAAACGCCTGCTTCGAGTTCAAAGACGAATTTTGCTGCGAGTTATAAGCGATTACCGAACTATTAGTTACAATGCTGTTTTCTCTCTTGCCGGATTTCCACCACTGAATTTGTTTATTCTGACCTTTATAGATTACAAGATTAGTCTTGCAAATTACTCCAATTCTCACTTTGATCGTTTATTGCCCTTGTCTGTTCTACCACATCCTTCTGTAAGACAACCAGTACAGATTCTGGATAGTACGGACACTGATGTAAATTCATTCTCATTTGTGCTGTATACGGATGGTAGTAGGATTGATGATAAAGTTGGTTTTGCTTATTTATTGAATTGTTATTTTTGAAGATGATATTGAAATTGAGTGTCACCAATTTCGCATTAGAAATGAATGTACTGTATATATTTCTGAGCTTCTGTGTATTAATTTTGCAATCAAGTGGATAATTAGCCAGAATGGAAGTGGTTCCAGCTACTTAATCTGTACGGATTCACTCTCTTCCCTGGAATCTCTTAAAAATACCTCTTTATGTAATGATATTATTGACAATATACAGCAGTCTCTCTGGAGATCTGGAGAAGAGGGGTATTTCAGTGTTTTTTACATTTGTCCGTGGTCATTCGGGTAATTATGGAAACGAGAGAGCTGATTGGCTTGCTAAGAATGCAACTAAAAATGATATTAACGTTGATGTAAATATTCCAAAATCTTATTTAAAAAAACATTCAAAGCTAAAATGATTGAGCGGTGGAACTGTGATTATATCTCTTCTGATAAGGGATCTGTTACAAAAACATTCTTCCCAACTATTTTTGAAAGACTGAAAAGTAAGGACTTGTTGCTCAATTTTAAGTTACGCAATTTTTTGTCTGGACATGGTAAGTTAATGTTTATCTTGAACGATTAAGCTGATATCTTCCAATTTGTGTAATTGCAAGTCTTAGCGTTGAGCAAAGTGTTTTCCACCTTTTTGATTGCCCACTGCTTGATAAAGCAAGAAATCTTTTGAAATGTAGATTGAAATTCATTGGAATTCATTGGCCGCCGAAATGTTATGATTTTGTATCCTCGACTTCGGCCTACCGAGCTTTCAATGATTTTGTTGACTTTATTTTAAACACTGTTAATGATTTCTTTATACATTCTATTCTTATACTTTGTATTACTTGTGTTTTTTTTTCCTTGTTATGATTTCATGTATTGTTGAAACTGATGATATTACTTACTATTCTGCCTTTTTCACTTCGATTTGTAAGTCTCGTGTGATACTTGTGGGCACGAGATTTCTTTTTCTTTAAAAAAAAAAAAAAAAAAAAAAAAAAAAAAAAACCTAATGCTAAGATTTTACTTCGGCTCAGTTTTATAAATATAAACTTAGTCTACTTTGTCTCAGTGAGCTAGATGCCAGTTTAATTGTAATTTACATGGGAATATTTTCATTCATGTATGCAATAAGTTTTTTCGTCTTAAATTCTTAAATACAATAGATATTTAAGTGAGATATTTGTTTTAGAAGATTATGAGATTTCTGTTGTCATTCCTTTATTTCCATCGATTAGCTATAAAATTGTACGCATTTTACAGGTATTCAAACTTCGGGTCATTTTTCAGTCTGTCAATAAAATTCGAAGTTCGTTACTTAAAGACCCTATTCTGAATGTGAACTTCTGGGATATATACAGGACTCCTTGACAATGTGCTTTAATTTAAAATGGTCAAACTAAGAAAGCCTAAACATTTCGTGCTCAGCAACATAGGGCACAAAGAAGAAAAAGGAAATAATATAAATCCTCTATTGCCTAAAATTATTGGTCAAAAAATCCCATTTTACAGCAGCTAAAATTATTCAATAAACATCTTTCCTTGGCGAATTAGATATTTTGGAAGTGTACCACACTCATTAAAAAAATTTTAGCTATAGTTAATGATCCCAATTCCATTCCATTTTTATCCTCAGCTTTTAAAGAAGTTCTTTTATGTGTGTGTCCGTTTTTCATCAATAGATTGCGCCACTACCTTGACTTCTTTGTTGTCATTGCTATCGCTTGAGCACAGGCTTTTCATTCGTTATTTCCACCTCTGCAGCTGATTATGAAGGTTCTATGTTTAAACCTTTGGAGCTAGTCCTGAAAGTTTACGAATATCACGTTAACTCTTGTAATGAATCTGTTGTTTCTTCCACATCCAATAATACATCGAAATTATTTTTATAAACTAACTCTAATCCAATAAAATTTATTGGCATCGCAACATTAAAACTGAGACAGTTAGCAGGCTTCTTTGCACGATTAATTTCTTTCCTAAATAATTTTAATATGTATGGATTGGATTCCAAGTTACATTAAGCTGTCACATATTCCCTTAGTCTCTTCTGCCTTTAATAACGGCTTATTAAAAGTGATTAAAATAAATTTATCAACAAAATAAAGGAACAAAGTAATATTCATGACGGAACAGCATCCTTCTGCATCTTTATTAAGCATGAATCCAAGTTACTTTCGCCGTAGTACGTGATCATGTAGGCACATCACCGGGAGTTTCACTTTTGCATCAAACTATGAAGTTATATTTGAGTTTAACTATCAAATAATTACTTAATTTACATCTTTCATATTAGCTCATTTTGCCACGATGTTCGTTCTTTCTAGAACTTACGCAAATTTGAATGGCAAGCTGTTTTACTATAAAGATAAAAGATTTGCGCATAGTTGTATGTAGAAATTTTGGTATTCACGCAAACGATACGTTTCGAAGATGTTCTCTCTCTTGGCCAATCATTGTTACCTCGAATTAGACAAAAAAGCGCAAATGGTTTGGGTTTAGTAAGTTCGCAATCGGAATCACTGTCGCGATCTTAAGTGAATCTTATAGCCTGTGTTAGAATAAAATATTATTTGTAACTGAAATAAGTTTAGAGAAGCTTTTGTTTTCTGTCAGATCCAAGTGACTGGTATTTTTATGCTGTATAATATTAATTCAACTGTCAAAAGTGGTGAAGTAGAATAAACTTAAAATTAACGCATATTTCTGCTTGTTTCCTTGCTAATTTTTGCTAATCCAATGATGAAGTAACTTGGCTAAATGAGATTATTTGAATCCCAGATAGGTGTTAGAAAGTAACCCTAGTGTTCCAGAACGTAAAAACAGAATGGCAAATAGGGCTTTTAACTTCACAGCCTAGCCTAAAGCTCACGAATGTAGCTATAGGCAGTACATGACTTACAAGCGGTCTCTTAAAAGTGTTTTCCTACCTATCTCCATAACAGAGTGCCTAATTTCATCTTTGAGATTATTGCTATTGAATCGGAATCGCAAAAGTGCATCTGCCTGTAATACAATGAAGCTCTAGCTATCCTTTAAAAGTCAATTGATAATGACCCAAATGTAAAGCCATTAAGTAATTTTCAAAAATTAAATATTGCTTTCTTTTTAGTACATAATGCTTGTCTTCCTTCACGCATAAATACATTTACTACATTCAGGTGGAATTTGCTGTTAATCAAACCATAACTTTTACGTATTTGTTGATTTTAACGCCGTGTCTTTAGAAACTAATGAAATTATAGGACTGTCTGTACTTATTATTAATTGTTCGAGTTCTGTTCCATTTATTCACATTGAAAACAATAGTGTTTATTTTAAAAATAAATGCATATGAAAACGATGGGGTTTAAAGAAATTCAAAATTTTTGGGATTTATATATTCTAAGTTTAGATTTTTACTTACTTTTCCAAGAGATTCTCCAGTTTTAAATAACTTTAATCTATTAATCTAGTAGTAACTAAATAAAGATTAAAGCTGAGAATCATCAAAGCTCCGAATAAAACAATAGGGGCTTTCCAAAATAATCCAATTAAATCTCTGGGTTAAAAGATAAGCAATTCTGGACTTGTTTTGGAGATGGAAGTAAAGTTTTTAACTAGTGTTGAAAAGTTTACATTTTATGCTTTATATTTATCTTCATTCCAGAAAACGGTTCATATCCATCATAAAATTTTCACCGTGCTGTGCATTATTTAAAGTTTTATCTGCATTTATTGCACGGGAATTCCTATTATCAAAGAATTGGTGATTTAAGTGATAAATACTCTTATTAGTGAATCCTTCAGAATTACATACTTAACAGCATTTTCATCTTTCCTAAGTAATAGTTCAACAGAAAATTTTACGTCTTCATTTTAGATAATTTAATCTCGAGATGATTATCTGCAAATTTATATAACAGTTTTGAAATTTGTCTATCTACAGATTTCCATCTATAATTTTTTTTTAAATTCATTTTGACTCCTGCATAGATGACCATTAATTATAAGACCATTATCAAGTGAAAGTGTATGTAAAAACTTAATCAAATGAAGTACATTAGAAAAATCATTAATATTTCTATTTTTACAAAGAGGATTAAAAAATTATTGATTTTTTAAAAAAAAATACTTAGTTTTCCCAAAATGTTTGGTTTGTGAAGCTTAACTGTGTAACAGAAAAACGCCTGAAAATTTCCTTGTAGAAATAAGAAAACGTCTAACTTAGGCCAAGATTAGTAATTCTGTATTTCATTATATTACAGAAGCACCGGTAATGATACCGTAATAGTCATTATAGGATCGTAAAAGTAGGGGATTTTTGCAAGAAAACGGATTAAAATGAGAGCAATGAAAGTGAAGATAATGAAATGTTTTCCCCATATTTGCAGTGGAAATATGTTTAAAACCATAAAAGCAACCCGTAATTATGTTACATTGATTCCATAATATAGACGTAGAAGATACAATATTAAAAATCTTAAGAAATTGTTCATCATTGTGAAAGGTCTTTCATTCAGACTGAATTGGAGAAGCACTGTTCGTGATAATACGTATGCAAAATAGAGAGATGAAATATTAAGTGAAGTTTAAAAAACTGTAAAGTTATCATTACATCCCATTCCTAATTAATTATTTATATTTGTTATGCAGATGATATGAAGATTATGATAATTTAAAAATTTACATATTATTTACTTTAATGCTTAATGAATACTATTTGAGAGTCATCTTTCCTTTTGAATTTTACACTCTGCTGAGGTTGTAAAATTTTTTCATCCTTGAATGATAACTTATCGCGATTTTAGTGTATATTAATAACATATATGTTTATCAAAATTGCCAATTAGATGAACTCTAAGCAATTTTTTTTGTGTTTTCGTGATGCTGTGATCAATGTATGATTATAATTAAAACCAGTCTCTCATTACCGGCCAAGATGCAATCTATTTTCCAGATATTTTAAGATACTTCTTTCCTAATAGCCAAATATGTCTCCAGTAATATTCATTATTTTTAAAGTTGGTATAAACTGTATCTATAAGGGATATTATTAATTAGTACAAATTATATAAATCAGAATATTTATAAAAGGTAAATAGATTATTTAGATTATTTAAAAAGATTTAAAAATACGATTTATATTAGAATTTATTAAGATTATTTAAAAATACGCTTATTAATTCAAAATCACTCAGCTTTTTATTAAATATAACCTTTTAACTTGAACGCTTAATGAAAAGATTTCATGACGTTTGTTTAGCAAGACGTAATTATCAAGCTTAAATGTTGCGTGGATGATAAGAATGTAATCCACGCAACCTTTAAGCTTGATAATTACGTTTAAGTAATACTGTGTTAAAAAAGAAATAGCATGCAGACGTTTCTAACTTCACAGTTCCTTACTTTCTGATTTGCATTTGTTCAAGGATGCTATTAAAAATGTTGTGATGTTATTTTCTTTCATATGTGAATTCAAATGTATTCTGAATGTCGTACCAATTCTTCACTGCCATAATCTGAAAGTAACTTTCTCAAGTATTAATTAAGCTGACATAATAATTTTTCTTATATATTTTCCCAGTTATCTTGTTACCATGTCATCTTATCGAAGATCAACAAAGAATTGGTAAGCAGACACTAGATTTTACTTCTGCAATGGAATAATTTCTTTGCCGTAATTTTCTCTTTTGAAATTTAATTAGGAATATGCTTGTTTCATTAAATTTATGAAATATTCAGCCTTGTAGAAAAATATGTGAAAACTACAGAGACATAACTGAATATTTTAGTTTTGGCAAATATCATTCAGTGTCCAAATACTGATCCATTTTAAGACAAGTATTCCCCGGTTTCTGTGGAAAGACTAACTGGTTATTTTTGTACTTTTTAACAAAATAACATAAGAATTAGTTTATTTAATAAACAAATAACAGTCTAGATGCTGCTTATAACACAACCACAAATGATTGCACAAATAAAAGTCTAAATTGTCCTTTTTTCGAAAAATAGACAAAAGAATATGGATAACAAAATTATAGTTTAGAATACAGAAGTACAATCAGTATACAAATAAGAGTCCAGACATAGCTTAAAACACAGCTACATTGACGAACCAAATAAAAGTCCACATTATTCTTTTTCAGGAAAGAAAACTAAAGTTATGGGTAACAAAACTATGGTTCAGAATATAATATAATAAATATACAAATAGCAATCTTGGTGTAGCCTAAAACACAGCCCCCATTGATTACATTAATAGAAGTTTAAATTATCATTTCTCCGGAAAGAAGACTAAAGATTATGGATAAAAAATTATGGCTTTGTTTCATTGGTTAATTAAAATTTTTATTACGAATTTAAAAAATATTATTTGCCGAGACTTTTACTTGTATTGTTACGTAAGTAACATAAGTCATCAATGGTGCACAAGGAATTATATAACAGGAATTAAATTTGAAATGGCATAGCACAAGAAGATTTATTATATTACTATTTTTCGAAGAGAAAAAGAAAATATAACCTGTAGAGTCAATAGGTTATATCGATGCTGGAGCGTGTAAATATTATATAGCGATGGTTTAAATATTATATAGCGAGGTTATAGCGATGCTGGAGCGTGTATAGTGCCCTCGCCGGAATTTCAACTCCGGACCTCCCGAACACTGTTCGAGCGTACTTCGAGTTACACTACGAAGGCATGCGGAATAGAGGAAGAAAATACCTTATAAACCAAACTGAAAGCTTCAAGGCCTAAAAAATTAAAATCAAATTTTCTTTTGCATTATGCTATGCAAGAGAAAAATTTTACTTATTTTAATAAATAAAATTTAATAAATTTAATTATGCAAGAGGAAAGTTATGAAAAATATATATGTAATCTAAAATTCCGAACAATATAAAAGCAACACAACGTGAAACATTACAATATATAAATGATATAATAAATTTTATAAAAAGATTTTTTAAACTGTGTTTTTATTTATTTTTATATTTTTATAATTATTATTTTGTAGAAAATTAGAGTGAACCTTTTACACATCAAATCAAATTTTAAAAATTTGTTAGCACTTTAGCTTCAAGTTACAAAAGTTGACAATTTAACGTAATTATCTTTCTCTCCTTGCAAGATGGACAAACAATAATGATTCAAATCATTTATGAAACAAAATTTATACTTAATACTTAACAACCTGGTTCCGTACTTCTCGACCTCTAAGACAATTCCAATCAAAGTCAAACTCACGGTCACTAGTGCGTCTTCATAGCAATAGAATAGTTTTAACACGGCAAATATGGTTGCCAACTGTCTTAAGTTACTCTTAAATTATACTCTTAAATTTAATACTCTTAAATTTAAGTTTTCGGTTGTTATTTAAATTCACATTACTTACAATGTTTTACGTGCACCAATGATTGAACATGAGAAGTAACTCATATTATAATAAATAAAACAAACTATACAAATATATTATCTAAGTATCATGACTGTTTATAGAGTAAGATCTATTTTATTTTATTGTGCCTTACGACATTAGGCTCTGCATGGAAAGGGAGGGATGCCCCGGGGAGGACTTTCTAAGGGCAACTGGATCGTGTTCACGTTTCACATGCGTAAAACCACGAAAACGCCCCTGCATCCGGCCCGTTTGCCAGGACTCGGGCTTCGGACCATACTAACAGTTTTCAGCGGCTTTAACCGCTAATGACACAGCTAGACCAAAAAAGAAATTAAGCTATTTATTTCAAAATTGCAGTCGAGTTAAAGTCGCTTGATTAATTTATGAAAACTATTATTTGTGTAATTTCTATAAAATGCTTGAAATTTGTAATAAATTGCTTTTCGGCTTTTTATTGCATCAAAATTAGATGTAAAAAATTTAATGTTGTTTATGAAATTTATATATATATTAATTTATGAAAAGAGCTGGACAACAAAACTATTATTTTTGTGATTCGTATGAAATACTTGAATTTATTTTTATTTCATCAATATCTATGCTTAAAGAGTGACAGTTCTTACTATAACAGTTGCAATAAATTGCTTTGAGGCTTTTTATTGCATTATATAGATGCAAAAAAAATTAATGTTATTAGATTTTTCCAGTTTGTCTTATTATTTTTGCTCTACTTTAAATGCTAGTTTTTTCAACATCCAGAAGAGTGTAAATTAATTAAATATGTAAATAAGCTAATAAGTGGTAAGATTATCAGACATGGCAGCAATGGCCGGTTGTCACCCTGTTTTACAGTGGTGACCAAAATTGTGGACAATTTTGGAACTTTGTATGTTTATAGAAAACGTTACGTTTCACAAAATGCAAACTTGTATATATCATTTTAAAGAGAATTTATTATTTAATTCAATACAAAACACAAAATTCAATTATTTGCAATACAAAGAAAGTTAAACGATAATAGTTATCGATATACATTAGATAGTGATGATTGCAGTGAGTTATCAGTACTTAGTAGGGTACCCTTTATTTTTGATTACAACTTCACATCGACGTTTCATTGAGCTGACAAGAGTTTTAAGCTCTTCTTTCGTTATTACATGATGCCAGGAAATAATTATAGCCTCAATTAGTTCCCTTTTATTTGATGGGCGCCTCATTCGGACAAGAGTTTTCAAACGGTGCTACAAATTTTCGAAAGGATTGAGATCAGGACTGTTTCCTGGCCATAACAAAAATTTAATGTTCTTTGTACGAAACCACTCTTTCGATATTTTGGCCGCGTGGCAAGGAGCAGAATACTGCTGAAAAATAAACGAAGCAATTTTGGGAAAGAGATCTCTGATGGAAGGTAGACGTTTTGGTTCTAGAATAGTGTCAATGTTTTTTCTGGCATTCAGTGTCCCATCGATGACATGAAGGCGACCAATACCATCTGCTGACATGCATGACCAAATCATAACACTAACTGGGTTCTTCACAGTTGCTTGAATGCAGTCAGGATGTAGCTCTTCTCCTATTCTACGTCTTACATATTTTAGCCCATCACTACCGAATAACGATATCTTAGTTTCATCACTCCATATAACTTGTGACCACTGATCATCTGTCCAATTAATGTGTTCCTTTTGCCCACTGTAGCCTTTTTTTTTTTTCGTTGCTGAAAATTAAGATAAGGCGTTTTTCGTGGAATTCTACCTCTCAGTCCAACATCTGTTAATCTTCTCCTGATTGTTCTTGAACTGACAGAAACATCAGCATCATTCAGATCACTTCTGATGGCCGCTGATGACATTTTTCTATCTTGGAGACATAGTCTTTATATTCTTCTATCATCAATAGATGTGATGCACCTTTTTTCGGCCTTTTCCTTTTTGTTTTTTATTGAATTTGTATCCTAATATCATAAAAAAAGACTTTCGGGCTCCAGATGTAGTCACTAAACCAGCCACCTGTCTTACAATTTCAGCATAGGAAAGACCACTTTCTCGTAGCACAATAATATTACATCTCTTTCTAGGTATCCAATCTACTCTTTTATTTGATGTCATTGTTTCTTGACTAAATATTAAAAATTTTAACAAAAATTTCTACTTGTAATTGCAGTGTATTAGAAACAGGTCCTCCTTCTACAGAACAAAGCAAAATAATGAATTGTTTCACGTGTAAACATGATGTCAGCTTCTACTGGCAGTTACTAACATTTGATTGGGTCTCAGAACAAGAACAGTGATTGGCCAGGAACACTAGACATTACAAACCACTTCATAACTGTGTTTTTTATTTATATTAAAGAACATATAACTTTTTTTGTATTGCAAATAATTGAATTTAGTGTTTTGTATTGAATTCAGTAATAAATTGCCTTTAAAATGATATATACAAGTTTACATTTTGCAAAACGTAACATTTTCTATAAGCATACAAAGTTCAAAAACATAAAAATTTTTGGCCACCACTGTAGATGCAAATTAAACTTTTATCTGTTTATTAATCTTGTACGAAATGCCTCATTGTGCAGATTCTAAAACTTGGTCTGTAATATTCAGCTCTTAGAAATTATGACTTATTTTGCTCCTATTTTCAATATTTAAAGCACACAATTTTGCTATTACATTACTGTAAATACGTACCACATTACTTCAATTTTAAACCTCAGTAAAATTTTAAATTAGAAAATTCGAAAAATAAAAAAATTAAACTATTTTATAACAGTTATTGAGAATATCTCACATTATAAAATCATTTTTTTATTTTTAAACCTTTAATTATTTAAGACCCGATAGCTGAAGAGTAGGAACTCGGCAGAAATAAATTGTTAAAATTTTTGGCTTGGAAGTTAAGCCGCACCTTAATTTTACGTCTAAAAATCTGAATAAAATGTGTAGACTGACATTCGAAGTATTATGTTTTAATATTATTATAGAAGATTAATAATTTTAACTAAACAAGTTCTAAACCAAACATACCGAGTCTGATTAGCTTATAACGATAGTCTGATTAGAGGTAAAAGCCTTGGTGTCTAAACAAATATTACCTGAGATATAAAAAGCAATGAGTCTTGCCATACACGAACAGAAAAGAAAAGAAAGGTCCCTTCACAGTATATCTATGGGGCCGCTTCTTGGCCGAAACGTTTATAGGTATTACTTATCTTTTTATGGCAAACGTACAAAATTCTGAAATGTAAAATCGATGCATATTTTTTAAAACACTGATGATCTCTATCTAATTCAGTAAAATTTACATATTTTTCAAATATTTTAGAAAGAATTTGTCGAACAAGAAGACAACGAGAATTCTGACAGCATTGCTGATTTTCGTGTAAGTATATTTATCTAGTCGATTTGAATTTGGAATTGTAACTTAGTTCAGTTATTCAGTTCGGATATGCTTTAATGCTATATCTCTATAAATATATCTAATTTTAAGGACACTTGTTAATTTGTACTGTATATTATATATTATTCAATTAAAACATTATGTACCTATGTTGAGATAACTAATTAAATATAATGTGATTATTTGTAATAAGCTGTTCTTTCATGTCAATTTCCAGTTAAGGATAATTTAAGGTGAACTGCGGTTTCAAGTTTCCACTGGTTTATTCGTGTAATTTACTCAAGTAAATGTATACCTCAATTCGTGTAAGATTTTAAAAAGAAATCTATAAACGTTTTATATTGCAAACGAAGAGATCTGACACTTATTCAATTCATTACTCTAGAACAGCGATTCTCAACCGGTGGTACGCGTACCACTGGTGGTGCACAAGAGAAAAATAGGTGGTACGAAAAGAAACAAAGTATTTTTAACTATTAAATTAAAAATTCTCGTGAAAAAAAGAACAATTGATAGAATTTTTCTGTGACAGAACTCTGATGATTTCAAAAATCATCAGTCATTTGAAGATTTCAAAAATTACACGTGTTAACTTTAGGTTAAACCGAAAAAGAAGAATTTAAAGGCATTTCAAATAAATAAAGCTATTAAATTTTATTATTACCTTTTGGCACAACCTATTTCTGTGAACAAGGATTTTCTTCCATGTTACATTTGAAAAAAAATACACAACAAAATTAAAAGTAGATCCTAATTTATGGTAAAAGATAAGTGAAATATGACCAAACATAAAGAAATTGTTCTCTCTTAAACATGCCCAAATTTCACAATAAATTTTAGATTTAAAGTATTATAACTTAAGTTTAATAATTAAAATGTTAACTAATTTTTAAACCAATATTTTTTCTATGCATATTTAATACAAATAGCCAACAGGTTGTGCAAATGGCAAAATCCATTTTTTTTTTAAATATTTCTATTGAGAAATTGAAAAATAATCACTTTTTCACTTTTTGTTTAGATGGTTCGTATTAGTCAAAAGGTTGCTCTAGAAAGAAAAAATCTGATTTGTACACCACATGACTTCCTTTTACGGAGTATTAAATTATACGCATTTTTTCTGGCATTTCGTTTAAACTTATTGGATTGAATTAAATCTACTTCGCCGACAGCGCATAAACCACAATAGAATAAACGCATTCTTTAAAATTCACCCTATTTGTTTACCATAGTGACACTCTGGCGCTAGGTTCACTTAGCAGTTTTATATTTCGTTCATATTATAACTCAGAATGCACAAAATTTATATCATTTAAAGAATTATCGAATCGTTGCCACATGTTCTATTCAAATACTATAATAAAGCTAGAACGATGTATAAAAGAAATTAAGCAAACCAAACAAAAAAGAAACAGTTTTTCACAGACGATTGAATATTTGTAATTCAATTAATTCCGTTCTCGCTTCGCGACAAGACAAAAATACATAAAAACTCAAAATATCTCTATTAAAAATTACAAAGTAAATCTTAAACACTTATTTTCCCGAAAACTGTCCAGAAAGGGTTAAGCATGGTTTAATTCGCAACAATAAATGAAGGCGTTATCTTTGTTGCTGCGAAGCTACGTTTCTCTATTTTGGCAACAAATCCACTACTCTGCTGTTTCAAATGTAAACAAGCAACAGCCGCCATCAAAAACATTATTAGGCTTAGCGGCACTTAAACAACTAGTTGATAATTCTAAAAACATTGAAATTGTTGATAATTCTAAAAATATTGCATACAGATTTACTAAAGGCATAAACCCTTTAACCGGTAGATAAGAACAACATAATTCAATCATTTTTAAAGCAAACAATATACAATTCACAAACATACAAGAGTAAAGAAACTGAGATCACTGAGCCGGGTAACAGAGTGTATATATATATAAATATATTTATATACGTTTGGCGCGGCCGATTGCAACCAAAATACGAGATGCAGATCTACAAGTTATAGTAGTCCTATATACAAAATTTCAACATTCTGAGGCTACTCGTTTTTGAGTTATGCAAGATACGTACGTACATAAGTTCATACAGACGCCACGAAAAATTCTCTTCAGAATTCATTTTAAAGCAGTTTTATAATTTTTTGGAGGAAAAGAGTCTTTTATTCTGTACTTACGTACAGGTGACAGGTGACGGAGGACGGGGACGCCTGATGTTTAACAGAGGTAAACAGGCATATGTCCCGCGCCCTCCCCTATCTAGTGGCAGCAACTCCCAGGAGCCTCATGAGGCCACCTTGGGAGTTTATTGAAGAATTTTACGTAATTGTACATGGCCATACAGAGGCGTCTTAGGAATACATTAGTTTTGATCGATAGGCGGATGATTTGTTACATATTGGTTTTTAGACACTGTTAGACACTAATTACAGCATATACATACACATACAAGTACATACAATTGCACATATAAAGATACATACAAAACACTTGTAAAACACATATAAAAGCACATATAACACATATAAAAACATGTAAGCACATTATATAAAAATAGAAATTAGATACTAGTTTGCACACACTTATACAAGTAAAACACATACTTATAATGAAACATATTTAAGCTAATATATAGTATACACTTACACTAAAGACACATTTAGATCATTTAGACACATTTAGATCATTAGACACATTTAGATCACATATCACATGTAAAATGCGCAAATAAACATACATAAAGCATGCAGGCACACTGTAGAATATTAAATTTTGTTATTAGATGATATAGTAATTACAGATGAAACTTTACTCTGGAGAATACATTATGCAATACGTTATATCAGGTACACTATACTTATTTAATTTGAATAGATATGCAGCGCTTTTTATATACATAATGCTTACAGAATTGATACACAATGTAAAAACAGATACACTATGCTTGTAAAGCATTAGATATTAGAATTTATACTGCACACAATTGTACAAACGAAATAAGACACTATACTACTATATACAACACAGTTATGGTGTACAATTATGCAAACACAGTTATACTAACGTATTAAAACGCAGAATAAAACACTATACTACGGTATATAACACAATTGTGCACAATTATATAAACACAATTATACTTACACATTAAAAAAAAAAAATCTATACTATTGTATACACACAATTATAGTACGCAGCAAAATGCATGCTATGTTGCCAAGCTATATATTTCTATGCGAAGCTATGAGATTATACAGGTAATGCAGATACAATATTGATAGATATAGATGAATTATACATTATGCATATGTCATTTTTTATCATATTTGTTTTAAAAAAGGGCGAAAGTTTTTTTATAATCTGTGAAAATTTAAAACTTTAATGAAAACGCATGATTAGATTCCGATAGTTGAAATTAATATGCAGCAAACAATAAGTAAAAATTGGGCGATTTTCGAAAATTCGCCAGAAATCATAAATGAAGTCAAAACTCACATATATTTGACTTATTTTTTTCCGTTTAGTTGGTAAGTTATATGAAAAAGTGCATAAAACTCTTTTCAACATTAGTTAAATAATTTAATTCGAATTTTGGACACATCACTCCAATTGTATTATCATCTACAAACAATGTATGTGCAAAATCTCACTTTGATAACTTTTCAGGAAATAATTCACCGATCACAAATTTTTTACCATGACGAAAAACATTAAGAGTTATAAGGTACTTTCCGCGCCTTGAATATGAACATTAAATAAGTAGGAATCATTAAATAAGTAAAAAAAGAATTGAAAATGCTTTGAAAGGTTCATAGTAAAATATATACTTCGAATAACAAGTCTTGATTTGGACACTAATGTCAGAAGCAAAATCTAAGGCTACAACGTTATAAGGTATTCCTTCCGCCTCTTGGCATGCCTTCGTGGTGTAGTGGTCAGCACGCTCAGCGCGTAATTGAGAGTTCCGGGGTTCGACTCCCAGTGAAGGCATTGCATATTTTCCAAAAATACCTAATGTCTCTACAGAGGCTACCGAACTAAAAGGGTGTTGAATGATGATTCTCCTCTCCCAGGATTTGGCCATTGGGGACCCTAAAAACCTCACTCTCCTTAAAAGGGGGAGTATATAAGGTATTTCCCCGCCCGGTATTAGCGAGAATTCGTGGTGTAGTGGTTTGGACGCTCAGCGCGTAATTGAGAGGCCCGCGGTTTGATTCCCGGTGAAGGCGTTGCATATTTTTCATCTTGCCTGCTTCCAAAATTACCTAATGTCTCTACAGAGTGAGCTAAATAAAAAGTCGTAAGAACTAAGCTGAGATCTAAGCTGTAGGATTTTTAAAACGTTAGTTGTAAAAAATTACATTGAATTTCTTAAAACATGTTTAACTGCACCAATGTTTGTTCTTTTTTTACAGAAATGCATGGGACCTCTTACTTACAGATGCAAAGAGTCATTCTGTACGTATGACATTGTTTATTTATTCATTTGTGTCATTTTAAATGATATGGTAAAGGTTAGTAAAAAGAATATCTGATTCTTGCTATTAAATGTAAAAACTTACATCTGCGGAGCTTTTCTCGCACGTTTAATCCTATTCGACTCTGTTAAAATTTAGTTTCTATATTCCTCTTAAATTAAAAAAAAAATTAACTTACATCTCATTTTAGATTATTAAATTAATCTAGCGGATTCTTTAAAGAGTTTTACACTCTTATGCATTCTTTAGAGAATTAGTATTAGAAACGGGTTTCGTTAACTGAATGTGCAAATGTTCGTAAAATCATAAAATAGGTAAAATTATATCGGTTAGGTACCAGAGAAAGCATAAAGTGTTTCTCTAATTACAAAACGCTTACATAAAATAACCGCGGAAAGTAAGTTATTCTAACTATTGCAAAGCTCACGAGGGCTATTTCGCTCAAAGGGAAGAGTATCTGCATGGATAGTGTTAAGGTAATTGACTCATATCTATGCTACACCGTAGGGTAAGCTACCGAAACGCTCATTCAGCCAGCCGGTTTGCGAGGATTTAATCCTTGGTCGAACCATCAGTATTTAACGCTTTTACTGCTTTGGCACTGGTGGGCCTCGCAGAAGTCTTATAGATTTTAAGAGCATCTTTAGTCGGTTCGAAAAAGTTTTAAGAAATTTATGGCATTGGTGATATTTTCAAGAACTGACAAGCTTAAGCAAAAGGTTTGAATGGTTGGCTTGTTGATAGCCTTCATGAGTGTAATCAAGGACCGCATGTTTTCTGCACCTGTTCGTGATACTGATATTTTGTAGGTCAAAATAATAGATGTTGTCCCAAGTGCTGTAGAGTAAATAGTGAAGAACATATGTAATACCGTCAATAGAACTGTAATACCATCTAAACCAGGCGTAGTCAACATTTTTATACCTACCGCGCACTTTGTAGGTAGTAAAATTCTATACCGCCCACTCATTCACAGTAACTTGATACAGCATAGCTACAAAGAACATTTTAAGTGACAGTTTAGTAAAAAATTTATAGTTAAACTTATGCATTCAAATTATACTATAATTTACAATAATAAACATTTAATAGATCAAATAATTATCTAGCAACAACAAATAATATATAATTAACAAACTACAGAGCCTTATAAATATATGGAAACAGAGCAGCATTGTGCGAAGAGCAATGGTCAAGTAAAGAGCTAAACTTTAAGGAATGTGTATATATATCATGTTGCGCGCGTACGGCTTCGTTATGAATTGAATGCTCAAGTCCGATGAAAAATGAACAAAATTTGTTATTATCACAACAAATAAAACAAAATTCTTAAATTTCCTCAGATATTCGTAAAGTATTACAATATTTCATAGTAGTTATCTTTTAACTACTCAAACTTTCAACAGAACTTAATTCAAAACAGCTAGAGAAGCTAATCCGCGAATTCGTTACAGTCAACAAGAGCAGTTTTCTACACAAATTCTTAAAACAACAAATAACTAACTGAATTGAGAGGTTTTCCTCCTTTTTACAAGCTCTTAAAAATCACGCGCGATATTATTCTAGCAATTTCTCGAAATCAAAAAGAGATATTTATTTACTAAATGTTAAATGCACGTGCTCCTGTATTTTTAATTTTCCGGCTTAGCTTTCTTTTAATATTCGTCACGCGCTGCACTACATGGGATATAAAACAATTTTATTTATAATTCTACTAACATTAGCTATTTAAATACCAAATCCATAACACTGCCCCCTTTCCAAGGACTGCACGTCCTGGGCAGTACAATCCCTGGACAGGAAGCCAAACTTACAACTAAGACATAAATGCAATAATAAACATTACATTACAATATCAAGCGTGTGTGTGTGTGTGTGATTATGGCAAAGCCTCGAGGGCTATCTGCCTAAGAGGAGGGATGCCTTCGTGGAGGACTTTCTAAGGGAAACTGGCTCGTATACACGTTACACATGGGGAAAACCACGAAAACGCCCATGCAGCCAGCCCGTTCGCGGGATTCGAACCTCGGACCGAACTACCAGTGTTCAGCGACTTTACCGCTCGGCCGCTGGTGGGCCTTTACAATATCAAGCAACATGAACAATAAATGCAATAATTAAACAAATCAAATACTAAATACAAGTCAAATCAAATAAACAATTAGAAACAAAAAGAACCATGGTCTTACACTATTTACAATTATTTACACTACGTACTATGGCCATAGGGATGAGTTAACCTATCGCAATGAACAACTTTAGGTTTAGAGTTTGATGACTTACGGATCCGAAGCACGTCATCGTTCACTCTGTTCAGGACTGTATAAGGACCATCTCAATGTAACTCTAATTTAGGACTGAGTCCTTTTCTTCGAATCGGGTTCCACAACCACAACTTGTCTTCTTCGTTGAATCTATGTCCAGTAGCTCTCGTGCCGTATCTGGTTTTCACCTTCTCCGTTGCCAAGTTGACTCGCTGTCATGCAGAAAGGTGTATCACTTCAAATCGGGCCTAGACATCTTGGATGTATTCCTCAGGCGATGAAATAGCATCCGAAGAGCGACCAAACAGGAGGTCACAAGTCAGACGAAGGTCTCGTCCGAAGAGCATCCGGGATAGAGAATAGCCATAAGTCTGGTGTTTCTCTTCTCCCTAGTATGATTTCGGCAGCTTTCTGAACAGGGTCGTTCAGACAAGATGTCGGCGTTTTCAGGTGAGGATCCCTTCTAAGGATAGATAGCCATGTCCTTAGATGCTGAAAGCAGTTTTTTGTTTATGAAGTGTAAGGAATATGTAATAGTCTAAGGAATATGTAAAAGAACAGTTGACAGAAATTTCCTATGATCGAAATCTAACTAAAGACTTCAAAAATAACACACTTGTTAACTTTTGGCTGAACAGAAAAAAAGAACTTAAAGTCATTTCAAATAAAGCTTTTAAATTTTTATTGCCCTTTTGCAGAACCTATTTGTGTGAACAAGACGTGACGTAAAAAACTGTTTTCTCTTAAATAGGCCAAATTTTCATGCTAAATTTAAAATTAAAGTTTTATAGCTTAAATATTGATGATTAAAATGATAACCAATTTTTAATCTAATATTTTCATGTGAGCATATTTAATACAAATAGCCAATAGGTTGTGCAAATGACGAAATATATATTTTTAATATTTCTATTGAGAAATTGAAATATAATCATTGTAAAATGTTGTGGTGGTACTAAAGTTTTTCAATTTTTGTTTAGATGATACACGTCAAAAGATTGAAAACCTCTGGTATAACCAGTTCTTTTACTTTGACTGTAAACTTTACAAATAGGTGTTTTTACTATGCATTTTAATTTTATTTTGCTTTAAATAACGTAACCTCAATAACATGTCTTTAATTTTGAATTTTCAGGTGAGGCTGATGAATGAAGTCAGCACCAAGTCTTCTTCTGGTATTAAGGTTTTTCCGTGAATTGGAATTACAAGAAATGTACCAATAAACACTTTTTCAGATAAAGCTAGAATGGTTTTTACTATAAATAAGCAATTAAAACATATTTTCTTGAAGAATCAGTTTTTATAATCAAGAGTTTTGCCGTGTTTTTAACGAAGTATACGAATAGCTAGAAGTTGTTAAGTAACGTACGAGTCTCGTAATATCATTCATATTTGATTTCAGAATAATTTAACATATTTTTCCATTACAAAGAAACTTAATTAGGTAATGACAATTAGGTAAAATTTTGAAAAAAAAAATACTTTTCATTACAAAATGTTTCCGTCTGCGGATAACAAGACTACATAAACTTGGCTTACAGTAGTCACGTAGTTGTGAGAGAAAATGGTTTTATGATCGATATCCTGTTCTGCTACATTAAAGGTTTCAGGAGATTGCAGACATATTTCCCTTTTAGAACTATCGTTTATGAAGAATTATAATACATATGAGTTTTGCATAATTAATCGTCTAGATTTTGCAAACTTTGTCCTTTGTTAATTCTCTACCTATAAATTTACGTTTTATATGGTTCTGTATTCCAAAAAAAGTTTCGAATTTGAAATGCTTATACATCTTACTTAATAATCTTACTTTCTTAGATCTGAAGAAATTATTTTACTTAATTTATTTACCTAAACTTTTTACTTCATACCTGCATATCCTGCATTTATTCCATTCGTCTTCAAATTAGTGATAGGTAAAATTACAATTAAGAAGTATTTAGAATACTGAGTTCATATGTTAGTTTACTAATTACTAAGGGACTACTGTAAGAACAAATACGATATTCTCTCTGCCTGTCCAATACTTAAGACTTAAGAATAATAAAATAACATTTTTATTATTCTTAAGACTTAAGAATAATAAAATGTTAAGAAAACATCAGTTTCATTCGCATGAATAAATTACTATTTTTTCAAAAACATTTAAGTCTAATAAAATGTTAAGAAAACATCAGTTTCATTCGCATGAATAAATTACTATTTTTTTAAAAAGCATTTAAGTCATCTATCAAAGATATCAATATAAACGATCTACAGATACATTTTAAGTATTTAAGTAACTCACAAACTGCAGGGAAACAAACAATGTATCGGAAATTCATTGACATATACCAATAGCAAAGATAAAATAGCTATGAAATGTCTAAAAGACTACACAGAGCACTTTCAAAACGTTTGCGAAAAGCCAACGATATCGCAAATGCATAAATTTCGTGGAACATGATATTATTTAAACATTTACGTTCGAAATTTTAATTGCGATATACAGAAATACACATTAAAGAATTACATGTGGGTTTTTATGTACACTATTTGCCAAGAAACAAATATATACTTTTTAGGCAAATTTTGCATATTTTCTATTTTGGCAGTAGTACTGGTAATTCAGGAGAAATTTCTGTACTGAACATATGTGGTTACGAAATTCTTTGGAAAAGCGGAAATTTAATAATCATTTTAATATTTCTCGAGTAATCAAATGTAATAGATAAGGAATGATTTTAAAATTAACCAAGCGTACAAAAAAGTATATGTATAAATTACTTTACTAATAAGTTATAAACACGTTTTTTAGGAGAGCACTTCCAGAATCTTCAAAATTCAATTTATTCTTTAAGATTGTACTAAGAGACACACTAAAGAGGTCTGTGGGATTAGCAAAATACTGCTTAAAATTGTGCTAAACATACCATTTCTTTAAATATTTGCAAGATATGTAATAAAAATAAAATCATGACACCGCTTCAACAGTGAAATACAACGTGTTAAGTAAAGCAAGTTCTCTAAACTAAGTATTTCTCACACAAAAGATGCACTGGGCAAATTAAAATTAGTAATATTGTTAACAATGGACTAGGAAACAAATTTGTGTAGGTTAGCAAATCTTAAGAAAGGCAATCAAAAAATTTTTCTTCGTAATAAATTGTAAATGTTTTCGGTTTAACAGAATGAAATGGATGGTGCAAATTTGGTATTGAAACAGTTAATTCAATCTTTAAGATACTAAAAATGCAATAAAAACATATGTGTTTTAGAAACGTACGACTTGAAAAATGAGTAGGTAGGGGAAACATGACTTTTTTCAACTATTAGCTTGAAATGTAATACAAATTAAAATATAACATTCATCAATGCAATACATTAGTTTTATATGATTAATTCTCATTTTCGAATGTGATAAAAAGTAATTTTTGAGTCAAAGAGATATATTTGTACTAAACGATGATTCTAATTTTCTTAGTAATTTAAATCATGTAAGTAATAAATGTAATAAATAAGTAAATAATAATGTAAAAAAACATGCTTTATATGATGTTATTTATATGAACATGCTTTATATGATAAAGGCATGTTTTATATGATATAAGCATAAAAGTCTTCTTAAAATCAAAGGTAATGCAGACGTGTTTCTTATTACATAAGCATAAAAGCTTTCTTAAAATCAATAGTAACGTTAAGTCAGGCATCGTTGATGACTTAAAAAAAGTTTTCAAATTTCATATGAGGTGTATTAAAAGTCTCCTTTATCTACATGCGATTACACCAGTGTCAGAGAAAATTAGTCTATCACAGTAGTATACAGGGAATGTTCTGAAAAAAGTAGGATTGAACATTTTTAAAAACTTTATTCAGAATGTAAACAACTTTTAAATTGTTGATAATTCTACAACTATTGCGTGGAAATTAACTAAAGACATAAAAGCCTTAACCGGAAGATAAGAACAACATAATTCAAACATTTTTAAAGCAAAAAATTCGCAATTTACAAACATATATGAATAAAGAAACTGAGCTCACTGAGCCGAGTAACAGAGTGGATATATATTTACATACATTTATGTGCTTTTGGTACGGCTGATTACAAACAAAACGGGAGGTGCAGATTTTGTATATATCACTGAATCTGTATATAGCAGTCCTATATACAAAATTTCAACGTTCTGAGGCTTCTCGTTTTTGAGTTATTCTAGATACATACATACATACATACCTACGTAAGTAACTAATTTCATTACTATTCAGAGAGCATTAAACCAGAGGTAAGTGATAATTCCGCTTCGTTATTAATACACAGACGTTTTATTTGTAATATAATACAAAGATTACAAACATTATTATTAGGCAAACGCCTTCATTATTATTAGGATTAACACTTTCGTTCTTCCATCAAACTAAAATTAAATTATAAAATTCTCGTTTTTGAGTTATTCTAGATACATACATACATACATACCTACGTAAGTAACTAATTTCATTACTATTCAGAGAGCATTAAACCAGAGGTAAGTGATAATTCCGCTTCGTTATTAATACACAGACGTTTTATTTGTAATATAATACAAAGATTACAAACATTATTATTAGGCAAACGCCTTCATTATTATTAGGATTAACACCTTCGTTCTTCCATCAAACTAAAATTAAATTATAAAATATCAACAGAGACAAGACGCTCGGAGCGCCACTTGACGGCGCGAGCAATTAAATTAATTTATAGCATGCTGCCCCCCCCCCCCATGAACTGCAAGTTTATCAGTTAAATCTTATTAATTAATATCATATAATACTTAACAATAAGAGTAATTATCAATACTATAATTAATATAACAATATTGAACATACTACAATAATTGATAACAACAAAACAATAACTAATAATATTAATAATAAGAATATATAGAATTCTAAATGAAATGTTAAAGTTCAAATAGATTATATGCTGATACATTGTCTTATTTTATCAGCATATAGTCTATTCTGAAAGTTCCAATGGATACAAAGTTGTATTGGTCAATGAAAATTTAATGTTATTAAAATTAATAATGAAATCCACTAAAAATAAGGACTAAAAATAAGGACGTATTAAGAAATTAAAAATAATGATGTATACAATAATTAAGAACAATGACACGTTAAAGAATTAGAAATAACTACTTATTAAATAATTAAAAATAATACATTAAAACTTATCTCATCCCAAGCACGTGTTCAAGACGTCAAACATATTGTCGTTGCTTAATTAAGATCATTCCGAACAGGATAACGATGATACGATAAGGATTATTGTCAATACTGCTTTAAAGATCATCGAGTTTTGACGAAAAAGATGCCTGTAATCGACCGTAGCAAGCAATTCTTATTACTCGTGCATGGTATTTATTTTGATAGTCGGCAAGACATGTCACGGAATTCAATACGGGGTCACACTCCTCATGAAATGTTCTGGGTAAATTTTGTTCAAAGAAATCGAAACTAGCTGAGAATCACAGAGCATAGTAAGTACGGCTAAAATTACTTAAATCACTAGTCTTAGGTAAGTATGAATTTTCAAAGCCCAAATGTCAGCCAAAGATAACGTCGTCATATTGATGTAAAGACATAAAAGAAACTTTATAACAAGAAGAATAACGAAAAGAAATTTTCTTTTAACCTAAGCAGTTTGAAGAAAAATGGCCTTTTCTATAGCGATATATATCATATAATTAAAACTCACATTGAAAGATACCAAGCATATTAATTGTGTTTCTCAATTTTCAGCATCGCGCTATTGTTGCCAAGTGAAGAACATCAATCCACTATCCTGCTTCATATACTATATGGGATGAACTTGTGACATGTCTCAATATTTTAAAAATGCGTGTAAAGAATATATTATACACGATTAGTTATGAGTGAAGAAAGTATGTGTCACATTGATTCAACGCAGGTAAGTTCAAAAGGTTACTCATTTTATACGATGTAAGTAAAACCTTAAGTTGGGCACTTTAAAAGCAGTCCTTTACATAGGTGGTTAAATACCAATTTTTTATTGACTAAAAAATAGCAAAACATTTTTATTTCGAAAGTTTTGAATAGAAATACTTCAAATGAAAAGACTGCAAAATGTTATGAAAAATTACCTCTCATTAGATGTTAAACTCTTCCCTCCCGAAGATCGTAAAGACAGAAAATATTTAATTGTATGCGATAAGATTCTGTCAGTAATAAATTCTGAACTCAGAAAAACTGCGAAAC